CGAGCACCACTCATCTTTCATCCCCTGCGTTAGGCCCTGCCTTCACGCTTAACTACCCCCATGCCAGCATCAGGCTGGGGCGTACATACCAAGAATCAAGCAATCCACCCAGCTCTCGCTCAGGTGAGCGGAGCTCTTGACCACACGATCAGCTAAGTCAAGCAGCACGGAAGGGTGACCGCCCGGCCCGACCGATCAGCTAAGTCAAGCAGCACGGAAGGGTGACCATCCAGCGCAAGGACACTCGACCTGGCTATCCTCGATAAGTAAACCAAAAATGGCGGGCAACGAAAAAGAAAAGAAGAAGGACAAGCACAACAAGCACACCACCTCCAAACCAAAACCAAGCGACATAACCAAGCTACAGAAGATGCAACCAAAAACTAGTCAGCTCGCAATATGCGCCTCACTAACCACTGTCACAACAACCACAGCCACGTACACGTCTTCACGCTCAAGCCCCAGTATACGTAAAACGCTCTATGAAAACTTCAGACCAACAACACCTCCTGATGATCAGCTTTTCAGCAGGACAGAAACAGACAAATTCTTAGCCAACACCCTTAACCCTCATCTTGGTCAACCCAGCCAAACCATCTCAACCTCAAGCCAGGAGAGCCAAGGCAGCCAAGACAACCCACCTCAAAGCCAAGATATTATCCCACCAAGCCAACCAACTGTTCTACCAACAAAACAAAACCTCAAGATAAAAGCAGACCCATTCACAGGGAATCTCAAAAAAGACTACGACATAGCACTAACATTCCTCAAGCAATTTACTGCAGAAGAAGTTAACCAAAGAATGGAATACATAAACGGCCAACGAGCTAACTTTTACGACTTATCCCTAGAAAACTCTTACTTTGCTCAAGCTGTTGATCTAACAAACCCAAACAAGAACCCAATCATTACTGAAAAACCAATTCAAATCCCAGCCACCAGAGAAGAAACCAAACCAACCGGAAGTGAACCAGACAGTCCGATAGATGTTACTAGCGACTTCCGCCAAAACATCAGTCTACCTGTAACTGTAAACATCCCCACCAACAACGCATACGAGCCATTAATGTCTACCAATAGTGAGGCACCCAGTAGTGAACCTGCCAAGGACACAGCCAGGAACCCAAATGTACACCAAGTCTTCCAAGACGACCTCTACAAGCCCCAAAAAATAACTGAGTACCCAGAAAACAAAAAGAAACGATCACGCACAGGATCAACCCCAGACAAACAAGATTCAGTGGCAGACGATCTGAAAAAACTTAGAAAGATGGTCGATGATGAAAAAGAAAAGGAAAATAAAAAAGAAAAGCCCCAACTTCGGGTTAATATACCGAAAGACCCTCGAACTGAAGCAAGAGACCCCAAGGACGAGAAGCCCCCACCAATAGTGTTGGAACACGTAGAAAACTACGGCAAATTGCAAGAAACCCTCCTCAAAAAAATTGGCTCAGGTAAATTCGAAGCCAAACCAAGAGGAAGAAGCATCGTCCTGTACACGGGCACCACAGAAAACTGGCTTAGATTAAAAACAACTCTACAAGATGAAAACTATGAATTCCACACCTTCAGTCTTACTCAGGATAGACCGCTACAATACGATCTCAAGCCAATACACCATTCAGTACCCCTTGAAGATATCGCAGAAGAACTCAGAGAACACAACTTCCAACCACTGAACCTCTACAGAAAGGGCAACACTATAGCCATTGACCTACCAAACAGAAAGGACCAACTCGAAATAACTAAACTCACCAGCTTCCTACATTGCAAAGTCACCGTCACGGAGAGATCTAGAGCAACAATTACCATCTGTTCAAGATGCTGCAGCTACCATCACACGCAAAAGAACTGCCACAATCAAAGAAGGTGCACCCGGTGTGGAGACAACCACCACAGCACTGAATGCGAAGCGGAAGAACCTCGCTGCCCCAAATGCAGTGGCCCACATACCATCTTTGAAAAGACTCGATGCAAGGCCTATAAAGAAGAGGAGGAAAAAATCAAAAAGAGAAAAACACCGGCAAACACACCAGCAGCTCCAGAAAAAGACAGCAAATTCTCCTTCGCACAGGCGGTAAAAGGCATTGCGGCAGACCTCGGACAGTCCCTTAAAGACGTCCTAACAGATGAACAACCCACTGAAACTAAGAAGCAGGACAACAAAGGTGAAAGTCAAGGACTTCTAGCCTTCCTCATGGATTTCCTAAAAACAGAAATCCTACCTGGAATATTCACAGAAATCAAAAACTGGATATTAACCACTGGCTTGCAATGGATCAAAGAATTAATACCATCTCTTCTAAAAATGATCCTCCAATGATTACCACACCCAAGGAAAAAGATGGCCTAAGGGCCCAGAGTCACGAAACTCTATCCAACCAAATTCCCGCACTAAAAGAGGCTACGGCCCACCCGCCAAGAAGCGTGGCAGTGCCCCCCCCACCACAATCCCTCATGCAACGACTGGGAAAAGATGGCCCAAGGGCCCACAGGCAAGAACCTGTACCCTCTACCTCCGAAAACAAACTAAAAGAGGCCAAGGCCCAACCTCCAAGAAGAGGTACAGTTTCATACCCCAACCACCCTCACTTAACCACCACGAGAAAAGATGGCCCACGGGCCCTCAGCCACGAAGCTGACCTCATCCTCCCAAAAATAACACCAAAAGAGCCCAAGGGACATCCTCCAAGAAGAGGACAGGTGCTTCAACCAAACAGCCTGAAAATAATTAGCTGGAACGCAAATGGCCTGAGAAAAAGGCGCAACGAACTAGAGCTTCTCCTCGAAAAATACGACCCAGCTGCAGTATTAATACAAGAAACGATGCTCTCAAAACATACATCAATTGAACCATTCAAAGGATACTGTACTATACGCAAAGAGAGACCAATCGGCTTCAGAGGAGGAGTTGCGATCCTCATAAAAGAAGCCATAGACCACACACCAATTGACCATCCGGAATCCTCAGTCGAAATTGCAGCAGCAACCCTTTTCATCGGGTCTCAAATCCTGGAAATCGCCTCCATTTACCTGACGCCTAATAACAAAACAAAAAAGAAAGACATCCATAACATCACGATCCCTAAACACCAATTTATATACGCAGGAGACTTAAATGCCACAAACACGAATTGGTGTCACGAGAAGACAAACCTCTACGGGAAATGGGTAGAGGAATGGTCGGACATGAACAATCTCACTGTTCATATACCAGACCATCCAACTAGGATAGCGAACAGGTCAAATGACAGAGACAATGTACTCGACTATGC